AAAAAATTTTGACGAATAAAATATTCTGTCAAAATTCTTTATAGAATCTAAATTTCGTCAAAAGTTTCGAATTAAACATTTTCCTTAAAAATTTTGACAAAATAATTTCCGTCGAAATTTTTGTGAGAACACATTTCCATCGAAATTTTGACCAAAAAAAACATTCCATCAAATTTTTTGACGTAATTCTTTTTTCGTTTGCAACATTTGACAGAGAAAATCATTTTCGTCAAAACTTTTGACGAGAACTAAATTTCGTCAAAACTTTTGATATAAAATTTATTTTTGTGAAAATTTTTACCCGAGAAAAAATTTTGTCGTCTTTCGACGTAAAGTAATCTGACGAAAAAATAATTTTGTGACGAAATTTTCATTGTTTGCAACGTAGAAATTTCATTGAAAATATGATCTTTTTTAATATTGTGAGAAGTACATAAATAATTTTGTTAGAAATTTTAAGTTTAATTTAATTTGTAAAATATAATAATTATATTTATTTTAAAAATTTGGTAAAATGGTAAAAATATCTCATTAACCCTCTATTATCCTCTCTTACCATTTTTTAATTCCCAAACAAGGGAAGAGAATACTCTTCAATTGTCTTCCCTTCCTCCCCCTCCCTCCCTACTGGATTCTCTTCTTTTCCTTCCCCTCCTAACTCCCAAACAAAGCCTTAAGAACAGTGAGTGAGCCTTGCTCACTCTTGAATAGCAGCCCACTTGAGTCAAGCATGCCAAGAGAAATTAAATTTCTCCTCAAGTTAGGGACATACCTCATTTCTTTGAGGATTTTGTGGCTATCATCAACCATTTGGAACTTAACAGCCCCAATCCCTTCTATTTGACAGACCTAGTCATTCCCATATATGGACCTTTCCACCCTTTTGGAACCTTAGACCACCAAGCCACTCCTTCCTAGGTGTCATGTGAAAAGTGCAACCTGAATCCATGACCCACTCAGCCTCAAAGCCTTTATTAGACACCATAAGGACTTCAGCACCCTCACACCCACTAAGTAAATTTGCAAACTCGATTTTACTTACTGCCTTAGAAGCCTTTTTGGTGTTTTCAGGGCAATTCTTCTTTATATGCCCTTCTTTATGACATAACCAGCAGGTAAATTTACCTTTTGGTTTCTCTTTACTTTTATTACTTTGTGTGTTCTGGTTAGGTTGGGATACCTTATTGTTTCCCTTCTGATGCTTCCCGGCAAGTATACCGATCGCACAAGTAATATAATGATAAAAAAAGTTTGTCTCCACAGGGATTGTGATCGTATATCAAATAATCGTCCTTTCAAGAATGGAAGAGTTCAAATAGTTTGTGACAAATATTGTCGATTTGTGTAAAACTGAAAACTGAAAATAAAGACTTGTTTTTTGTCTTTTTGTTATGAGAAATAAAACAATAAAAATGAGAATTGATTTGTGAAAATATGAAAAAAGCATTGTAGCTAGAGTGCACTCATCATACGATCCTCACTTCTTACTTTGGATTGATTTAAAAATACTTATTTATATAAATACTCAGATAATTATCATCTAGAATTAATTAGTTAAATTCCAATCCCTTGGAAATTTAACACTTTAACCTTAATTGGAATCCTAATCCCTTGGTAATCCCTCATGAAAATTAAGCAATGAACACGATAAATAAAGCATCTACAATTAACATACGTCTATTCCTAGTACGCATATGAATTGTTATCCTACCCCCTTTCAAGGTCAAAATCCCAATATTCCTATCTAGAGTTCTAACCCTCAATCTATTATCAACTATTAGATTGATCAAGTTTATCAAAGAGAATAGAAATTACGCACAGAGTAAGATAAAGAAATTTATATAAACGAGTAAAATTAAACCAATCCGTCGTAACAAGGGTTCACATAAGGGTTGTGACCCTAACTACAATAAAAATAAACTAGCCAACCATTATCATGGCTAAATATTCAATATGCATAAAACCTGGTAAATTACAAGAAGAAGAAGATGAAATAGCTCCTTGCAAGACTCTCCCTGAGCACCACCGTCGTCTCTGGTCTTTGGAATAGGATTCGATCTTTTGCTTCTGTCACGAGGGTCATATTTATAAGCCTCGCTTCTTTCTTCCAAAATTGCCTTTCAGAAAACACGGTGTATCTTTCCCGCAAACCGGCGCCAGTTGGCGCCAGTGTGGTGCTAACTCGCGCCACGCTTCTGTCAATTTGTAAAAGTCGGACAAGCCTCCTCGGTAACTGGCGCCACTTGGCGCCATTTTGAAGCCATCTTACGCCATAAATTGGCGCCACTTTGTGCCACTTTGGCGCCATCTTGCTTCACTTTTGGCGCCACCTTGCTTCATTTTTGGCACTAAGTTGCACCATGCTACTGTCAAATTGTGAAATTCTCAAGAAACTGGCACTAGTTGGTGCCATTGTGGCGCCACTTGCAAAGCTCCGGTGTAGAGTTCGTAAACTGGCGCTGGTTCCCGCCAGTGTGGTGCCGGTCCGCGCCATGTTGCTGGAATTTGTACTATGCTACACCCATGCGGACTCGCGTCAACAGGCTTTTTATAATTTTGTAATTTTCACTTCTTTTACCTGTATAAACACAACCAATAGGTGAGAAATATCATTAACATAGAAAGAATCAATATAATAAGCAAATATGTATTTAAATTGCTCTTTTATGACTCAGTTCTTATCAATTTTAACTTAGAAAACTACACCTGCCAGAGGCACATCAAATCATTTCCAGATTTAAACGTTGCTGTCCCCAGCAATGTACAAGACTCAATCCAGGACCTATTTAATTAATCCAACATAACAATCCATAGACATTCTCAGACACAATATGCCGTGCATGCCTGACCCAATATCATAAACTCCCAATAATGTCATCAGCTTCTTAAAGATACAAGTCTACATTGATTACCCCTCACACAGATAAATAATGTCCACTCAACGCTCAATGTTTATGGGTATCATGAGTACTCAATCAATCGCAGCTATAATACTACCATAGGCTTGATCATATTCTCAAAAATTCTTAAAAGTGAAGAATCAAACACATGCATCAATTGATCAAAATAACTTCACAGGTTGTAACTTGGCCGGGGTAACAGGTAGGAATATATGGACAGTAGCTCAAACAACAATGAGATTGAAAACTGATATTATTTCACTTTAACACATTCAACTCAATTGTTTTGCTCCACTAACATTCCCACAGAATTTCGGGAATTAATTCCTTTCAGCCACCTTTTATTTACATTCACCTTTTTTCTTTTTCTTGCTTTTTCCTTTTTCCCCTTTTGTTTTAAGGGCACAGATGAAATTTTACCTCCCCTAATTACTTGACCTATGTGGAGCTTACCTCAATTTCTTTGTTTTATTTTTAACACATCAGTAATTCAATCTCAATTAAGGTAAGTCACTTGGATATAGGCTAAGCCATCAATCAGGCCACAAGTCATTCATCAACAAAATAAGTTCAGGCTCAAGGGGCTAGTAATGGAAAGATTTCATACAAGTGAATTATTTTGGCCAATAGCTAACAAGAACAAAATGCCTTTATCATATTAACCAATGCATGCATAACAGAGAAACAGATCAAGTTCTAGAGTGTTACAACAGTGAGGTCTCTTAACAAGAAAATTCAGTGTTTAAGCTCAAACCTCACAACTATGGTATCAATATAGACTCAAGAAAATTGACTTCAGACATTATCAGTATTTTACAACATCAGTTCAGACAAACGAGCAATTATGTAATCCAATTATACCTATGCAATGTCATGCCAGAATGCCATACCATATACTTCCAAAATTTCAGTCAGGCACATTAACTAGATAAGCACATTTAAACCTGAGAATTGCTTGAAAAACATATCACTATTTTTTTTTAAAGATAAAGATAAAGAGAAACACAAAATACTCACTAAAATAAAATAAAGACAATAAAAGAGTTTATAATATCTCCCCTGATAAAAGAAGTGCAGTTCCAAGGTGCTTTCCAAAAGCCTCACCATTCCCAGATTTAAAGAATTGTTGTCCCCAACAATAATCAACCAAAAGATGGATGATAAACCTGCACCATGGAACAAACTGTGGTATATAGGATAACTATAATGCACACAATAAAGCATCAGAGTGTTTGGGAAATATACTAACTTAAAACAGCAAAGTGACCATAACATCAACCTATGGTCATAATAAAACAGCAAAAAGTACTAAAAGAAAAATAAACTAATATACAATAAATCTCCAACAGCAAGGAGATTTAATCAATCCTCTATGTCATCCCCCTCAGAAGCATGGGATGACTCAACAAATAGAGGATCTGGTGGTTCTGGATGCATCAGTGCATGAGACCACCATTTCCAGATTTGATTCTAACCGTGAATCCATGTGAGGAGCTCTTTGAAGTATTGGTTTTTCTGAGAGATAGAATCTTGGTGTCTCTTGTCAAAGATTCTCCTTTTTGTGGCCTTCAACCTCCGGTGGTCCGCACACATCTTCCAACCAGTATGAAAGAGTTTCACCATTTCCTTTTTCATTACCTTCTTCATTATAGGATGATTCCTCCCTTGAGGTTTCCTCACATTTTTGTCATCATCTTTATTAAGAATTTTGTGAGTACGGGAAGAGGGATCTTTATCTTTCAAATCAGAAATAGACCACCCTATGGCAGTCCCATGTTCCTTCAATACTTCAATCACCGCCTCCTTATTACCCAAGAAGGTATATTGCAGAGTTTCAGGAAGCTCCTTCAACTCTATTTTTGGGGCACCATCTTCTTTGTCAGAATCTTTCTTCTCAAGAACTTTAAACACAACATTTTCTTCTTCCTTAAAAGGAAAAATATCTCGCGCCTCTAGTTCTTCCTCAAGCTCTTGAATAGAAGATTTCTCTTCTTCCACCACTTCTTCTAAAGCATCAAGTCTGAAACAATCACCTTCATCAGAAGCTTGTCTCATAGAATCAAAGACATTGATGGTGATAGTCTCATCATTCATCCTTAACTAGAGTTTCCCTTGTGCAACATCAATCATAGCCCGAGCAGTAGCCAGGAAAGGTCTACCCAACAACAGAGGCATTTCAGTACCCTCTTCCATATCCAACACTACAAAATCTGCTGGGAAGATGAACTTGTCCACTTTAACAAGAACATCTTCAACAATACCACTCGGTTTCCTTAAAGGTTTATCAGCAAGTTGCAAGGAAATCTTAGTAGGCTTGAGCTCAGAGGTTCCCAAAGATTTATACACAGATAAGGGCATCAAATTTATACTTTCCCCAAGATCACACAAAGCTTTGCCAACATTTTTGTTACCAATGACAATAGGAATGTTAAAACTCCCTGGATCACGATGCTTACGAGGAAACTTTTTCTGTATAATAGCACTTCACTCTTCAGTAAGTGCAACAGTTTGGCATTCCTGCAGCTTATGTTTTCTTGATAACAAGTCCTTCATGAACTTGGCATAATTGGGCATGTTAGCCAAAGCTTCAGCAAAAGGTATGTTTACATGCAACTTCTTGAAGATATCAAGAAATCTTGCATATTGATGCTTTTGAGCATCTTTCTTGAATCGTTCTGGATAAGGTGCCATGGCTTTCACATATTCCGGATTCAGCTCAAATTTCTTCTTTTCAGCAATAATTGGTAGCTCCTCTTCTTTACCCTTCTGAACAGGTTTCTCAACATCAGAAGGAATCACCACCTCTTTTTCTGGCTCCTCAACCGTCTTAAGCTTCTTATCAGCTTCCACATTTGTGTTTGACTTTTCTGGAGCTGCTACCACTTTACCACTTCTGGTTGTGATAGCCATACAATCCTCCTTGGGATTAGTAACTGTATTGCTAGGGAAAGTACCTGGAGTTCTGTCAGCCATTTGTTTAGCCAGCTGGCCAATTTGATTCTCCAAATTTCTGATAGAAGCATGTGTGTTCTTGGTATTGGCTCTAGTCTCTTCCATGAAAGCATTAGACTGTTGAGCCATTTGTCCAACTAACCTCTCCAAATCAGAAGGTTCCTTGGTTTGGATTGGTGGAGGCTGTAGATAATTATTAGAACTATAGTCAAAACCACCTCCTTGAATCTTCCGTTGATAATTACTACCTCCATGAGCAAAATTCTGACCTCTTTGAACATTTTGTTGTTGAGGTCTCTGATCATACCAAATGCCATTCACTTGCATTTGTTGAGGTGAATCAGAAGGCATCAAACGACATTCATTAGACTCATGATTGTCCTGGCAATATTCACACACAACAGCAGCAGCTTTAGTCTGAATACCAGCAAGCTGCATCTTGTCAAGCCTTGAGGTCAAGTTTGCTATCTGCTGAGAAAATAATTTGTTTTCAGCTAGCATCGCATCATTACCTTCCAGATGAAGGATACCTCTCTTAGGCTTTGCTGACAACACTTCATTTTCATTGGCAGCCATCCTCTCGATCAACTCAATAGTCTCATTTGCTCTTAGGGATTTGATCGTGCCATCTGCTGCACCATTCAACACCATCCTCACCTCAGGTTTGCAACCATTGAAAAAGATTCTCACCTGATTACCAGCAGTCAAGTTATACTGAGGACACCTCCTCATTAGATCCTTGAATCTGTTCCATGCTCCACACATAGTTTCACCCTCTAACTGAGTGAAATTGGTGATATCATTCACCATCTGGTTGTACCTCTCCATCGAGAAGAACTCAGCAAAGAACTTCTGAGACAGATAATCCCATGTAGAAATGCTTGCTGCAGGCTGCCTTTCCAACCAACTAAGAGCCTTTCCCTTAAGAGAAAAAGGGAGCAACCTCAATCGAATTGCATCATTCGACACCTGAGGGTGTTTGGTTGAGTCACAGATCCTCAAGAATCTGTCAATAAATCTGTGAGGTTCTTCACTCTCCTCTCCTCCAAACTGAGCTATCTCCACCAATTGAATATGGGAAGACTTGAGCTCCCAATTGTTGGCAACGTTAGGCTGCACAATACTCGCGTTTGGCTTGTTGAACGATGGAATCATAATAGTATCCATGAGTGGATTATCCTCTTCATTGTTCCCTGCCATGGTGTGTGCTTCCTCAGACAGAATTCCTAACTCGTTGAATGCAAGCTTCTTCCGAGCAAGTTTTCTGTATCTCTTTTCAGTCTTTGTAATCTCCAAATCAAGTGGAAATTCTGGCTTTTTACCTCGCATATAACTCAGAAAAGAGATTAGTAGCACTGTTCAAATATCACAAAAAAAATAAAAATAAAAAAATCACAAAATCCATTCTTAAAAATCAAGATTATATGATATAAGAAACGACAATCCCCGGCAACGACGCCAAAAACTTGATGCTTCCCGGCAAGTATACCGATCACACAAGTAATATAATGATAAGAAAAGTTCGTCTCCACAGGGATTGTGATTGTATATCAAATAATCGTCCTTTCAAGAATGGAAGAGTTCAAATAGTTTGTAAAAAATATTGTCGATTTGTGTAAAAGTGAGAACTGAAAATAAAGACTTGTTTCTTGTCTTTTTGTTATGAAAAATAAAACAATAAAAATGAGAATTGATTTGTGAAAATATGAGAAAAGCATTGTAGCTAGAGTGCACTCACCATATGATCCCCACTTCTTACTTTAGATTGATTTAAAAATACTTATTTATATAAATACTCAGATAATTATCATCTAGAATTAACTAGTTAAATTCCAATCCCTTGGCAATTTAACCCTTTAACCTCAATTGGAATCCTAATCTCTTAGTAATCCTTCATGAAAATTAAGCAATGAACACGATAATTAAAGCATCTGCAATTAACATACGTCTATTCCTAATACGCATATGAATTGTTATCTTACCCCCTTTCAAGGTCAAAATCTCAATATTCCTATCTAGAGTTCTAATCCTGAAACTATTATCAACTATTAGATTGATCAAGTCTAACAAAGAGAATAGAAATTACACACAGAGTAAGATAAAGAAATTTATATAAACGAGTAAAATTAAACCAATCCGTCGTAACAAGGGTTCACATAAGGGTTATGACCCTAACTACAATAAAAATAAACTAGCCAACCATTATCATGGCTAAATATTCAATATGCATAAAACCTGGTAAATTACAAGAAGAAGAAGATGAAATAGCTCCTTGCAAGACTCTCCCTGAGCACCACCGTCGTCTCTGGTCTTCGGAATAGGATTCGATCTTTTGCTTCTGTCACGAGGGTCCTATTTATAAGCCTCGCTTCTTTCTTCCAAAATTTCCCTTCAGAAAACATGGTGTATCTTTCCCGCAAATCGGCGCCAGTTGGCGCCGGTGTGGCACTAACTCGCGCCACGCTTCTGTCAATTTGTAGAAGTCGGACAAGCCTCCTCGGTAATTGGCGCCACTTGGCGCCATTTTGAAGCCATCTTGCGCCATAAATTGGCGCCACTTTGGCGCCATCTTGCTTCATTTTTGGCACTAAGTTGCGCCATGCTACTGCCAAATTGTGAAATTCTCAAGAAACTGGCGCCAGTTGGCGCCACTTGCAAAGCTCTGGTGTAGAGTTCGTAAACTGGTGCGAGTTCGCGCTAGTGTGGTGCCGGTCCGCGCCATGTTGCTGGAATTTGTACTGTGCTACACCCGTGCGGACTCGCGTCAACAGGCTTTTTATAATTTTGTAATTTTCACTTCTTTTACCTGTATAAACACAACCAATAGGTGAGAAATATCATTGACATAGAAAGAATCAATATAATAAGCAAATATGTATTTAAATTGCTCTTTTATGACTCAGTTCTTATCAATTTTAACTTAGAAAACTACACCTGCCAGAGGCACATCACCTTTACTTTTAAATTTTCCATTCTTGTTCCTTTTACCCTTCACAACTAGCCCCTCAGCATGGGACTTTATATGGGAGAATATTTCAATCTCCCTGGCTCTCAAAGCTTCAGTTATCTCATATAAGTTCATTCCCCTTTGTTGTATTTTATAGCATTTTTTACACCCCTATATGAATCTGGAACAGAATTCAAGAGGTTCAAAATTTGATCCTCATCTGAGCCAGTTGCCCCAGCATTATCCAGATCTAAGGTGAGTTTGTTAACCTCATCAATATTTTCCTACAAGCATTTAGAAGGATCCATCTTGAAGGAAAGAAACTTCTTCTTCAAGAACATCTTGTTTGGGGCAGATTTTGTTTGATAGCGAGCCTCGAGTTTTTCCCAAAGCTCTCTAAGATTAGTTATCTTTCACACTCGCCAAAGGATATTATCAAACAGATTTTCCATAATTAAACTGTGAGCTAGAGCCAACAAATTCTTCAATTCCTTAGGTGTTAGGGAATCAGGAAGATCCTTTTGAGGACCAACAACATCCTCACACTTCTGTTGCACTAAGACAACCTTCATCTTGATCTTCCACGTGTTGAAGTCGCCCCTCCCATCAAACTTCTCCACCTTAACCTTGGTGATGCCCATCCTCTTCAGCTTCCAGTAACAGAAAGCATGAGGACCAGAGGGAAAGAGACAAAAAAACACGAAACAGAAACAAAGACAGACCAGAAGAGAAAAGGAACCAAGAACTTAAGCTCTTGATACCACTTGTACAATTCTTGGTATATAGTTACCAAGAATCACCGCAGAAAACAGACTTGCAGAAGCAAAAAACATAAGGAACAACACACTAGAAATTTATACTTGATTCAGAAACTCTTTGTGAGAGAGTTTCCTACATCCAAGTTGCACTTTTATTCAGAATAGAAATAGGTACAAATATGTTTAGCAGATCCAGCTAAAACAGAAATATAGATAAAAAAATTACAAGACAAATAACCGAGGAAGATAACCAATATTACAGAGGTATATCAGATATACACTAATAAAGCATATACACATTCATATGACAAATAAAGACCATCAACAGTAAAGGAATAAAGGACGATATCACCAAGACTGTGAGCAAACACCAAGAACCAATGTCTTCAGCTCCTCCAAGCACACGAAACCCTCTTCTCCAGTTGGGAACGCCACTATGCTGGATCTTCCTTTGCTGTATGATGAATCTCCAGAAAGTGTACCGAACAATAAATGCTCCTTAACACAAGGATCACTTCTCTGCAAAGAATCGAGACGAGATTCTCACTTTATCTCCCTCAAAATGCCTCACCAAGTTTCACGAATAAACCCTAAATTTATTCTCTCAAGAACAATAATACCATAGAACAAAAATGAAGATGCAAAATGTGTGTTACTATTAATTTTTACGGTGTCAACATATACATGAGTTATTATCTAACAGCCATCATAGCTAAATTGAAACGTTGCGTTTAAGTTAACGAGATGCTAATAAACAATGACCAGCATGTAGGCCTTAACATTTGAAAACAAAAAATTCATTGGCCCAATTCAGCAAAATAAAGCAAACCGAAAACAACAATCATATTTACTAATAACAAATGTGCAGTCAACAAAACAGTTCACATAATAGCAAAGTATACATGTTTAGAAAATAAACTAACAGTGGTTTATAATTTTTTTTTTTGTAAATTTGTTTAAAATATAAACAGGTGAGTGGCAGGTACCCTTTTCCAATTTTCTTTTGTTAAAGTTTTTCAAGTGATTTTTATCGTTATTTGGGCAGACTTAATTACTTTTTCATGAAGGAGTTACTCATTATGATGCCTGGACTGGACACTAGCTGCATGACTTTATTTTAACTTATCCCTATTTGTTATTTGTAAGTGGGGAATTCTAGACTTTTGTTATCCGAGCTTTCTATCACATAAGATTTAAGAGATTCATATAAGTTTATAAAAAAAAAAAGGAAAAGAGATTCATATAAAAAATAGAAAATATTTCTAGATAAATTGGTTTTTTTATTTATTTAAATAATGAGTTGAATTAAGACGGTG